TTCTCGGGGAACGGTAGAAATTCGGAAGGGATGAGTTCTTCGGTTTTCACCCTAACGAACCTCCCCTGCCAGCCTCGATCTCAGTCCTCGTCGATGCTCGAGAACGGAGCCTTGCTTGCTTGGAGAACGAGCTTGATTTGCCCCCCTCGAAAGATTTGGGGACTGTATAGGCAAAGCAGACGGTCCAGGGTGAACCGAAGGGCTTCGGTGTTGTTCACAAAGTATCGTAAGAGGATTACGATCCTCCAAAAGGACGAGTGGATTTTCCCAAGGCACACCTCGTACCTTTTCAGAAATCGAAGACTATGGGGTCCATCGGGGCAAATGTGAAGGGGTAGGTGTAAACACTCAAGCACATTTCCACATGAGTAGTGATGTCGTCATCGGGGCAGGGGACGACCACCTCCTTGCCCTCCCAGTTACAGTCCACCCGAATTGTGGGTAGTGTTTCCTCAGTAATGGAGCATATGTACCTTCATGCTCCCTCGCCTCGGTCTTGTTGACTAGAGGCTTCTCAACGTTAAAATCATTCCCGATTGAGCAGCCCCCGGATACAAAACTCTTCAAGGGGGGCTCCTGAGCCACCTCGGGAACGGATTGAAGGAAAAATATGAAGGTTTAAAGAAAAAATATGAAGATTTAAAAATGGGATGAAGGTATGAAGGTCTGGGTTGAAGATCCAAAGAGAATGTATGAGGATTGAATATGAAGATATGAAGGTTTAAGGAGCAATGTATGAAGATTTGGAGGAGTCAAAAGCAATTAGAGAATTCGAGGGTAAGTTCTGGAATCGGAAAGTGGAAGAAGTGAAAAAGGGTCGGAGCTTTTATAGGGGAAGAACAATCAATGTGTGACGTTTCGCATTCGAGGACAGTCAACCGGTGGCTGACACATGTCCGAAGTCAGAACGACGCGACTGATGGGACATTTCATTGACCCGTCATTTCGGTTGGGACGTGCAAAGAAAGGAACCGAGGTCCATTTATCGCTTCCCGTCATTTCGGTAAATCTACTCTCCGGTAAACGAGGGGATTATCTGTGTACGAGTAAAGTCGGGGATAAAAGTCTACCCTGATTTCCCGACGAGGAAACGAAGGGAGAACACGGATCCATGAAGTTGTAATCGAGTCTGAGACCCTTCATATCGAGGCCCAAGGGGAGCAAACGATGTATCTGTCATCGGATGTGGTAAAGCAACGCACCTCGGGCCAAGTATAAGTTATAGACCTCGGGAAACACGATGAACGATTGTGCATGGCGGATAGAGGGCAGTGATACTCGCCCTCAACTAGATATCACGGCGCGAATCTCGCTTGATGTCGACTGCGGATCAACAATTACCGGAAAAGAAAGATTTTTATCTTTTTTAGACTTCTATTAGAATTAAAACTCTCCTGCTATATAAAGGGGAGGTTTTTCTTTTCTTGGACACATTGTAACACGCGAATCAAAGCAATACCAGTTTATTTTCTTCCTTTTAGCTATTGTTAAAGTTTTGCTCATTTGTTCTGTTCTTCATTCACGACTGGGCTTGAATCGAGGGTCCAACCGAGGACAAGGTCATTAGTCAGTCATAATTCAGGCTTGGCCGTAATATTGCAACTGGTTTGAACATTTATTTCATTTCTAACTCATTTATTTGATATTCTTAATTGCTCGTATTGGATTAAATTACATATCCTTAAATCACGTACAAATTTAATTGTTACCCAATTTTAGGGTAAACAATCTCAGAATTGTAATATCACATTGAGTATGGTGAATTATGCTAGGATTGTGTGTACCAATTAAACGCGAGTTAAAATATTCTAAGATTTTATTTTAGAACTATTTTTTCTCATTCTTGTAACCAAACGACCCATAAGAGTTATAATAAAAAAATAAAAAAATTTAAAATATAGAAGATGTCATTCTTTTTGAAGTATATTAAAAGAAAAAGAATATCATATAAAATAAAATTAAAAAAATAATATTTAAGGTGTTTATTCTAAAAACTCAAATTTCGAACTCGTCTATGGTGTATAATAGAAAACATGGGAGTGGGGAGGGAGAGGGGGAGGGGGAATAGAAAACATGAATAAAATAAAAATTTCTGCTACTAAAGAAAAAAAAGAAAGATATGCAGCCTAAAAGAAAGGAGGAAATGGGAGAAAAAGCGTAAGAAGAGGAAGAGAGGTGTGGCGACCACTTAATGATGGGCCCCACGACGTATCAGTAAACATGATCCAACGGCTGAGATGTCTTGCCCCTCTTCAATATATTGTCTTCCAATATGTCTCTCTCTCGAAAGAAAAAGGCTTTTCACCATTTCACATCCCTTTTTGCCTAGCGATACATCTTCTCTCTCCAATCCAAAAAAAAAGGTGCAATTCTTGTGCATTTTCCTTTGGTCTTCTGTCCCTGTGATAGCTACATGTTGATCCTTGTCGTTTTTCTTGTGTCGTTTCATTAGTTTCTGCTTTATTGTGTTGAAGGAAGATAAAATGATCTGGGTCCGATATCAGCTATATTTATACATACTTAGTTTGAAATGCTATTCGGATGGGTCTTCGCTTGACATTCATAACCTTGTGTCTTTTTTATTGCATTTCTGACTCACATATGGATCTCTTCCCCCTTTTATTAGCAAAAGGCTCTCAATTAGTTGAATTTTGGATCGGGCGGGCCCCATTACTTTGCAATGTAATAGCTATTTCTGTGTTTTCTTCCCTCTGAGCCTGCTTGTGTGCACACCTTTCCTTTTGTGAGAGAAAAACTAAATAACGTGAAGCTTTCTTCTCTATAAAGCACAAACTAGTAGAGAAGAAGAATAAGTTGTGGTTTCTGGATAGATTTGTATTTGATTAAGAAAGCTCATTTTATTGGGTGCTGATTACTGTTAAGGTTAATTGTTATTTTGAATCATCAAATGCTCTAATACAGAAGCAAGATAGATGGTGATTTTTATCTTGTACTGAGGCTTCAGTTTTGGATGTAGAAAATACCATAGATGGCAGACGGCGAGGATATTCAGCCACTCGTTTGTGACAATGGAACTGGAATGGTCAAGGTAAGCTCAAGTCTCTGTTGTCCTATAATATTGTGTTAATGATGTTTGTTAACTTGTGATTTATTGTTATTGAAATTCTTATTATACAGGCTGGGTTTGCGGGAGATGATGCTCCAAGAGCTGTATTCCCTAGCATTGTCGGACGCCCCCGCCATACTGGTGTGATGGTGGGCATGGGTCAAAAAGATGCCTACGTAGGGGATGAAGCTCAGTCAAAGCGTGGTATCTTAACCTTGAAATACCCAATTGAGCATGGTATTGTCAGCAATTGGGATGATATGGAGAAGATATGGCATCATACTTTCTACAACGAGCTCCGTGTTGCCCCTGAGGAGCATCCGGTCCTCCTAACTGAAGCACCTCTTAACCCCAAGGCTAACCGTGAAAAGATGACCCAAATTATGTTTGAGACTTTCAATACTCCAGCTATGTATGTTGCTATCCAAGCCGTCCTCTCACTCTATGCCAGTGGTCGTACTACTGGTAATAAATCCTTACTTTTTTGTTAAGTTATTCTGTTTTTACTATGTGAGCTGTCAAGTTATTGATTCTGCTACCATGAAAAGACCTTGCGGGCTTGGTGATTACAATTATTTACTTATGGGATTTCCTCGTATGGACTGATGCAGATACTGCAAAGTTCTTGTTATTTGTATTTCGAGAATGATTGTCTTAGATGTTGTACCAAAGTAGTAGTCTCTTTTCTGTTATCCTTTGCGAAAAACCAATGTCCAATGCTGACTATAAACTTCTTTACTTACCATGGAAGAAACTGTTCATTTGTCAGCTTACACGGGGATTATGTGATTCACTTGTTATTGCAGATATTTGGGGCACTGGACCCATATTTTCTTGCATACTTAGGAGCACTTCAGATCATTGCAACTAATTATTTCTTTTCTCTCTGCAGGTATTGTGTTGGACTCTGGGGATGGTGTTAGCCATACAGTCCCCATCTATGAGGGTTATGCCCTTCCACATGCCATTCTTCGTCTTGACTTGGCAGGTCGTGACCTCACTGATCATTTGATGAAGATCCTCACTGAGCGTGGTTACTCGTTCACCACCACAGCTGAGCGTGAAATTGTGAGGGACGTGAAAGAAAAGCTTGCTTACATCGCTCTTGACTATGACCAGGAACTGGAGACTTCAAAATCTGGCTCTTCTGTCGAGAAGACTTATGAGCTTCCTGATGGACAAGTGATCACCATTGGTGCTGAACGTTTCCGATGCCCAGAGGTACTTTTCCAACCTTCAATGATTGGAATGGAAGCGGCAGGAATCCATGAGACCACATACAACTCTATCATGAAGTGCGACGTGGATATTAGAAAGGATCTTTACGGAAACATAGTGCTTAGTGGTGGTTCTACTATGTTCCCCGGTATTGCTGATAGAATGAGCAAAGAGATAACTGCTTTGGCTCCAAGTAGCATGAAGATTAAGGTTGTGGCACCACCAGAGAGGAAATACAGTGTCTGGATTGGAGGCTCTATCTTAGCATCCCTCAGCACCTTCCAGCAGGTTTGCTTTCCCTTCCCCCCTTCCCTCCCCACCCTCCACTACCTAAAAGAAAAAAGTCACAGCGTTTTGTCTGTCTGTCTAATAATTACTTAAATGGAGAAGCTTGAGACAGTTGCTAATGCAGTTTGTATGTCTTGTTTGCCTGCAGATGTGGATAGCAAAGACAGAGTATGATGAAGCTGGTCCGTCAATCGTTCACAGAAAGTGCTTCTGATTTTCCAAGAATGATAATGTTGGTGAAAGCAACATACTGTGGGCTGGACCAGAAATGCAGCATCTTATATTCTAGCTTTATTTTCTGTATTTGTTGTTCTCTGTGTTTGATTGAAAGGAGTTGATTGCTGGATGATCTTATTCTTTTATTTTTATTGATTTAGAAGTTTCAACTTTCCATAATCATATTTCTATATGCGTCCACCATGCTAGATGGTTTGATGAGGTAACAATCTCATTGATAAAGAAAAGTAATACTAGTACATGATTTCATCCTGAGGTGGAAAGCAAGGAAGCTTGGCTATGATTATTCTCTGTATCACAGAATGGATGGTGATCCCATTTCAAGGGATATGTCTTCTCATCACTAATTGGATCATTGAGAGCACTTCCCAGCCTTTGTTTGTATTGGCAGTCAGTATTGCACCTCTCGGAAATGGTCGGACGTTTGCAGAAACTCCCAAACCCTTTTATTCCAACCGTCACTTTTCGCGTTCTGTCTCTCTCTTCTTTCAGGTAGCTTCTGTCTTCCAGTAGCTTTATGATCCTCTCTGACATATTTCTAACACTTAATCCCCAGTTAAACCTGCATTGCACATATATAATGCTAATAGAATATTGAGAAAATGGAAAGCAAAGTGTAAATAAATACCAACCCTTTTTCATCAACATATTGAAAACTTGCCATCTGTATGATAACATCTTCATCGCTTGGAAACTCCTCTGCAATACTTTGTGGTCCATGAGTTAGCAGGTATTCCAATAACATTAGAGCCTTATAAGATGACCTCCAATTTCTTCTCTCAAATTTCGACAATCTGTGCACATACCTAAAATGAATGAATTCCAAATCCAGGCTAGTACAAACAATATAATACAAACCTCTTATGCAGAATATCAACAATCCTCCAATAATCATCAACTTCAAAGGCTGCACGTGATATTAGTCTCATGGTTTGCATATTTGGTGCACTCAAATCTCCATTTGTTGCTTCTTCTGCCAGCCTTATATATATATTATCAACAAAAATTAATGATAAGAAGAAACTGACTGAAAATTAAAGATAAGCCAATGAAAGTTAGTTTTCAAGAAAAGTTACAGTTGAGGAGGAGTAACATCTGTAAGAACCAGTCGAGCAGTCCTGATTTTCTCTTTGAGGAACAAGGAAGCCTGCCTTCTGAATTCATGCAACAGAGAAGAATCCATGTCGAATTTGTTATGGGGATAATCGATCAACTGAAATATATATATATATATATATATAGTTAGAAATAATTGTCGATGGAAATACAACTAACTACTCCATTAACATAACAAACAACTACTCTATAAAGTGGATTTGCGTATGTAATTGAGACTAATGGAACTATTAGGAAGGCCTCAACATTTGACAATTAGATATTCTAAAGACAAATACCGCAACGTCATTTGTCAAATGTAATCAGGCAGCTGCCTATGTTTGCATTTTCCAGCATTAATTAATTCCTTCAGCGTTAACAAAACAAGAGGGAAATACTGCTTTATAGTACCATTTTACCACTGCAAACAAGTACAAGATGAGAAGCAAATTTAAGGAGTTGTCAGAGTAGGCGTGTTGTCAACATTTCCCTTATGGTCCGGTCCGTTTCGTTTAGAAGCAAGTTATATAGTGCAAGGAATGTAATGTAAGGATTAGTAATTCAAGGGATTCTAATGGAAAGATTATAATATAGGTTGCTATTGTGATGTAAGAATTATTTATTGGGAATCTTACATAAATGTCCCGAATAAGTTTCAACTTACCAATCTCTATCCATTAAGCATAGACTTTCCAAAACTAACCAGGCACATATAAAAATTGAAAACCCAAATAAATAAGGTTCTTCCTCTCCAAGAATCATATGCAAAGATCTCATTCCATATTTTTAAGCGTGATCAGCAACATTAGATGCAAGACGAAAAGAAAATTTTATGGATGAGGTTGCAAACAAGACGATGAAATACAAAAAATATATATACAATATTCTAAAAATCTAAGCAAAAAAGGACCATTTTTCAATGGGTATGGTTGAAATTCATTGAAAACTGAGTCAATATACAAATTTTGAGGAAGATTGGAGGTGATTTGGACTCATTTAGACTTTTAGTATCAAAATTCGTAGTTAAAATCGAATTCAAAAAATTCTTCTGCGACAATGTATCACACACACAGATATACATGGATATACATGTGATACACATTTGGTACAAATATAATACATATGTGATACACAAATGATACACAGTGTGATACACAAATTATTTTTTTCATGTTTCATCTTCTACTTCGAATTTTCAATTCAAACCACCTCAAAACTCCGCCAAATCATCCCAAAACTAAGATTCAAATTCCTTAAGATGTACTCAATCTATTCTAATAACACCCACTCAAAAGAAAGAAAATTTGACCTTGTTTTAGCTACAAATAGTTAATTGGTAATATTTGACTAATATTAGTAATATTTGGCTAATATTAGTAATATTTATAAATTGACCAATTTTTGCAATAAGCTACTTATAAATTGACATAACTGATAGTTTTTCTTATTTATTTGATGTATGGTCTGTTGTAGTAAAAATTATTATATAGTGTAAATTTTAGAGTATGCTTTTATTTTCTAACCAAATAAAGTATTGGTTACTTCATGAAAGGTTATTTTTTCATTTATTTATATTACTAGTCCCCAGATTCTTAATCCATATTCTATCTCGCATATAATAATACATAAATTCTTGCATAATTTTTGCATGTATTAGTTATGAGAAAAATAACATGTGGAACGAAACATTGTATAAAATAATGTTAACTTCATGTGAAACAGGGACGACTCAAGGATATACGGGGCCTAAAGCCAAAGTTTAATATGATGCCTACATTTTAAAAAGAAAGTTATAAGATATGTTTTTATTTGAAGTCTATTCTTCTAACTTTTTGAGATACAAAGTTATTAATCATCTTTTTTATAATCAATTTTCTCTTATAATTCCTTTTCAATTGATAATATGACCAACTCATTTAATCTTTCTTGAGATATTATTGATCTCAGATAAGTGAATAGCGCAATAGAAGTATAGAACTATTGAAAACTTAAAATTATTGTGGAACACTTGAACTAATCAAATCCAGAAAAAGAAGATGAGTAATGAAATCGTGGAGAAAGAAGATGAGTAAGAATATTTAAGGAAAAGACAGAAAATATGTAAGGATTTCTGAAATATGAAGAGATCAAAGAAAAGAAAGATTGACTTGGACAAATTAAGAAAGGGAGAGTAAAAGTTTGACACGTTACCTAATGAAGGGATAAAAAGTGAAAAATTAAAACATTGGAAAAATTATTCATCTACTCATTTTAACTAAGTCAAATTATTTTAAATATCTAAAGAGCTTTTTTTCCTTTTATATTAAAAACTCGACTTTTATATTAAAAGTACTAGATATTATTTTTTAAATACCATTAAACATATTATTTTTTTAAAATGGGGCTTTCCAAATTTGAGAGCCTAAGGCACGAGCCTTACCACTCAAAACATTAGAGCCGGCTTTAATGTGAAAGGAAAAGTGAAACCAAGCATTGTATTAACAATGTTAAATTTTGTGTGGAGATTGTTTTTTCCATTTCTCCCAACCAAACATCACCTTAGTTCATTATTTTAAGCAATTATCTTTATTCTTAAAAATAATTTCAATAACTTAAAAAGATCACAAATGTTAGAGGTGAAGGATACCTACCACATGAGCCGTCCTCTCTTGTCAGTTTGGTGGTATTATTTTATCAATTACTCCTAGAACTTTCGTACTTTTATATAGCTTAGTGAGAAGCCGCATAAGATATGAGGTATCAGCTCTAGTTTACCACTCATTCTCGACTTCTTTTTTTGAGTAAATGACATTGTATGGCCTTTCAAAAAATGTATTAGCCAATATTTTTATCATTGACCCGAAATGACCTTCCCACCTAATTTATTTACAAGTTGTAGCCACCTTCTGTTCCCAATGTATTTCTCTTCCCAAGGCCACCTTTATTCCTATCCTCTTTCTTTTTCTTTCATTGTATTTGATGCATAACTTTTTCTCCCCAAGACCAATTTCATTCTCTTTCTCTTCCATTTTATCAAATTAAACCTAGGTAATTTTTTCACCCTCTTTCTCACCTCTTTCTTTTTTTGTACTATCTTTGTCTTTATTTTTTTCTTTCTTTGGCTATTTCTCTTTTTATTTTTTATTTTTTTATTTTTCTTTCTCTATCTTTCTATTTAGATCTATATTTTCTTTTTCTTTATTTTTTACTTCATACTGGAAAAGCTTGTTTGAGTACCGACAAAACTCAAAGAAAGTTTAATTCAAATTTTAAAAGAATTTATTCTATTAAAGCTACGGTGAATAATAATAGAGTGGCAGTAGAAGTCGTGAGATTTTCTAGTCAAAGCTTTGTGTATTTCTAATGGTGTTTTATTGGTAGTTATAGTAATTTTTATGAGGATATGAAATTGTATGGTAACTCAGCAGGTTTTTCTTTTTTGTAAGAGTAATTGCTTCTTTTCTTCTTCTTATTTTTCTTCTTTGGGTCATAATGATATTTTATGAGTGAAGATCTTTTGAAGTGGGTATTGGTAGTGGTTTTGGGTTTAATGGGATGGCTAAGCAGTATTTGTATTGCAATTTCATATAAATATTATATATACACAGTTATACAATGTATACGAATTATAAATCAGGTACATAAAAGTTATACATGCACGAAATTATATTGTATCTTTGTATAAAAATTGTATATATTGCCATGTAATATATAAAAATTGTCTACGTTAGCTGTGCATTCTTAGTGTATATTGAGTATATCTCGAGTGTGTGTTTATCCAAAGTGTTATATTGAGTGTACCACGAGTGTATTTGTGTATTATGAGTGTATAGTCTTTTTACATAATGTATAAAAACTGTATATACATCCCCTTTTATTTTTTTATTCTTCTCATTCTTACTTTTCTATTTCTTCTTCTTTTTGTGATTATTTTTTTGTATAAATTCTCACTCTTTTTTTCTTTTTCTCTCTTTTAGACCTTAATTCTTTAGGTTGGTTGGTGAAATTATGGATTGATAAGGCTGGTTCAGGGATGGGCGAGTCTGATTTTTGAAAATCTGTTTTTAGGGGTACGAGTAGGGCAGTGCAGTGGCGATGGTGGTGGCACTGCAGCGACAGCCACAATGCAGAGCGGTGGGTGGTGGAGTTTTCTATGTGGATGTCTAACAGATGATAGAAAAGAAAAGGTGGATGGAAAGGATTGTGTTTTAAGAGTTGCATATGCTGACCATTCTATGCCAATAACATACGAAGCACCACACTAAATTTGGAATTTTATATAGTGTATAAAAATTATATATACACATTTATATATTGTATAATTTTTGTATATAAAGTGTATCGTACATTGTTGCAGTGTATCCCCAATGTATGTAGCCCGAACGCTTTTGTGTATCCAAAGTGTATAGACTGTTCTACGATGTATAAAAATATATATACTATTTTACGATGTGTAAAAAGCGTATACATTTTATACTAGTGTGCACATGAACTATAGTAAAGTAAAATATTTGAAAGATTCTGGCTTTGTTGTTTAAAATTATATATGTTTTGTATAAATGATATTATATGTTGTATATCTTTTGTATAGTGAGATCATAGTTGTATATGTTTTTGTATAGTGATCGTGTATAGTTTGGATGTAATTTAAGCACTTTAATTTCGAAAATGCAAAGAAGGGGTGATCATACAAGTGCTCCCCATTATAGTGATTTTATAAACTTTTAATTAATTATCTCACTTACAATATGGGCACATCTTGAACTCGTATAGGAAAAGGCACAAATCAATTTCTTAGCATTATCTTTTTCAAACTTTGAATTGAAATCTATATTAATGTGTATAAAAAGAATGTAATGTTTCCAAACATGTGTAATTATTGTGTACGCGACACATATCCCTTTTGTCCCTTCCATTTTATCGGATGTCCCCGAAATGACCTTTTGTCCCTTCGATCAACTGGCAAAAAGTAATATTTATGATAAAAGTTTTATTTTTATATTCTTCACAAGTATAAAATATTAATATTTAAATAGCATAAAAGCCAAAAAAAATGATGAATGAAGAAAATAAAAGCCAAGAAGCCATAATGATTTTCTCTTCTTTTTGTTTTTCAATTTCACACACAGCCCTCTATATTCTTTGAAATATCAAGGCACTAAATTAATTTCTTTTGTTTATTTAATTTTTTTTGCCCTTGGATAAAGCTAGATCTGATGGGTAGTTAAAATTGGAGTAAATGTACAATCCTTGTACGCGTATCAAGCAGTTAATCTTCAAGCAAAAGAAATACCAGCCCCCAAGACTGGTTTATAGGGTTCTCCAACCGCAATTGATGGGGCTGTACATAAGTAAGCAGAATGCTTGTAATAATCATCACCAAGTTTGCCATCAAAATTGAACATTTCGAGGCATTGGACGCTGGTGAACTCTTAGATCAGCATTTTTAGCCAAGCCACACATAAAGTACCCTTTCAAAAGTCAAATAAAATGTTGGGTCTACTAGATAGGTCTAGTACCAGTAGCATCGCTAGAACGTAAATGCAGGCCATTAATGCCGTCACAGCTGCAGAAAATAATTAGTCAATGCTTAGATCCCTAGCAAAAGGAAGAAAATACAGGGACAGCGAGAAGGACTAGGAGAAACGGTGAGGACAACATAGGTCCCAGCTTAACAAGGAAATGGCCACTGTAAACAAAGACATACATTGTCTCTAAAGAAACCATTGCTAGTATTTGATAATCTCGCTGTATAGACTTAAGTTGGCATAAGGCAAAAGTTGGGGAATGGAGTTACATCTGAGCTTGAGAATATCGTGCTCATACAAACTCGGCAACTATAGCCAAACTGTTAGCCGATAAGATGTAGTGCAAAAAGGTGTTAAACGTGCTGAAGCATCATGAGTTTTGAGACTGCATATCGGTGCTGCTCCAAATTAATTTGCCTGAAAATAAACGGCACTCAGCTGTAGATTTTCCAGATGCCAATTCTATAGCCCAATGACATGAGCGCCAACTCCCACATCATGTTGGGGATGCTTAACAGATTTAACTTTTGATCCATGTATTTCAGTTCAATTAACAGATATCTCAATCATTGGAACACGAAACATCTTGCATAAGTAGTGTATACGGTCGAAGTCGAGCTCGATTTCGACTTGGTAGATTAGGAACATGGCAACCACGGACTGAAGACCGACCTCGAGTCTCACTGAGCTAGCACCCGAGGTCGGAAAACCTGCCTTCGAGGAAAATTGAGTCCGGTGTCGACCTTAGCCTCGAACGAGCTCGAAGATAAATAACAAAAGACCGAAATATCTGCGACCGGACGGATATTACGGCGAGAATCTCGGCACGTATCAGCAGGGAACCGGTAATCAGCAAATTAAGAGATTTTTACCTTTTATAGAAATGTAGCTAGAGTATGACTCCTCTTCTATATAAAGGGGGTCTGATAATTCATTCAACACATTGAACACGTATCCCAAAGCAATAAACTATTATTTTTAGTCATTACTATCTTATCACTCTATTCCGGCATCGATTGCAGCATCTGACTCGAGGGTAACCAACCTCCAAGGCCAAGATTATTCAACCTGCGTGGTTTACATTTATTTTTTTTATCATTTATTTCAATTTAAATCTAATTTCTCATTTTTGTATCAAGTTAGATCACATATCCTTAAACCCGCATATAAATTCAATTGTTATCCGATTATGAGGGTAAACAGTTTGGCACCCAACGTGGGGCTAAGGATAATAGTGGTTATTTGATACAAAAATCTCCATAACACACACTGGTTTATACTTGCTCTTTGAAGTGTCTTTGATTCCAGGCTAAAATACAAAAATGGCAAACTCTCAATCAGCACCTCTGCATGTTGACAACGGGTCCGGTCACCAAGGTGAAAATAACAACATAGCGCCCGAGATATCGCCTGCTGATCCCGTTGGAATTCCGATCGCAAATCCGATTGACGCTAATTCACAATCGAAAATCATAGTCAAAGATGATCAACTCGGGGCACCTTCGGGGTCAGTCTATCCTGTCAGAACCCTCGACAGAGTCAAGAGAGATATCAATCGCGAACTGAGGCCAAACAGGGATCGGTATCAGCCGTATAACGGAGATCAGAGAAGCAGCGGGTCCGGGCGAAACTCAATGAGAAACGAAAGAAGAAATGACCAAAGTCAAAGCAGACGTGGGCTTATGACCTAAAATGGCTTCGACAGGTCCAAAGACGCACCGAGGCTATCGGAATATAACTTCAATGTCGATGCTGCCGCCATTATATCAGCTATCGGGCGCATCAAAGATACTAAATGGCCTCGACCTCTACAGTCTGATCCAAACCAAAGGGATCCTAACCAGATGTGCAAATATCATGGCACTCACGGTCACAGAACGGAAGATTGTCGACAATTGAGAGAGGAAGTAGCTCGTCTATTCAACAATGGGCACCTTCGGGAGTTCTTGAGCGACCGAGCCAAGAATCATTTCAGGAACAGGGATTCTAACAAACAGGCAGAATAAGAAGGACCTCAACACGTCATTAACATGATCATCAGAGGGGTTGATATACCACATGGGCCAATGTTGAAACGCACCAAAGTATCCATTACTAGGGAGAAACGAACTCGAGACTACATACCGGAGGGAACTTTATCTTTCAACGACGAGGATGCGGAAGGGATCGTGCAGCCCCACAATGATGCACTGGTAATATCTGTACTCGTAAATAAAATTCGGGTTAAACGTGTGTTAATTGATCCAGGTAGCTCAACCAACATCATTAGATCAAGGGTCGTGGAGCAGCTCGGTCTACAAGACCAAATCGTGCTTGCAGTTCGAGTTCTGAACGGATTCAACATGGCATGTGAGACCACCAAAGGCGAAATAACGTTACCAGTAAATACGGCCGGGACCATCCAGGAGACTAAATTTTATGTGATCGAAGGGGACATGAGGTATAACGCTTTATTCGGGAGTCCATGGATCCACAACATGAGGGCGGTGCCCTCGACGCTACACCAGGCACTGAAATTCCCAACACCCCATGGGGTCAGAACAGTCTACGAAGAACAGCTAGCTGCGAAGGAAATGTTCGCGGTCGAGGAGGTGATATCGGCATCTACAGTTTCGACATCGAAAGGCCCAAACCAGATGGTAAAAAGCGGGACCAAATAGCAATCACTGATACAATCTTCGGCAGATTTGGGCAAACAAAAGGAAGTCGAGGATGATGATTATGGGGTTCCCAGATCTTTTATAGCCCCCGATGATTTCGATGCCACTAAATCGACGGTCGAGGAGCTGGAACAAGTCATATTGCGAGAAAGCTTGCCCAATCTAAAGGTATACCTGGGCAAGGGGCTAAGCTCCGAGCTCAGGGAAAAACGCATTCGATTTCTTATAACTAACGAAGATTGTTTCGCTTGGTCCCACCTCGATATGACAAGAATCCCGCCGGAGATAACCACTCACAAGCTAAGCCTGGACCCAAAATTTCACCCGGTTAAAAAGAAGAGGAGACCCCAGTCTGAGATCAAGCATGCTTTCATCAAGGATAAGGTATCTAAACTTCTTAAAATAGGGTATATTCGGGAGGTTAAATACCCGGATTGGGTAGCAAACGTAGTGGTAGTCTCTAAAAAAGGGAATAAACTAAGAATGTGTGTAGACTACAAAGATTTGAATAAGCCATGCCCCAAAGACTCTTTTCCTTTGCTCAACATCGACCATATGATCGATGCCACGGCCGTCCACGAGATTCTCAGTTTTCTCGATGCCTATTTTGGGTACAACCAAATACGGATGGACCCTGGTGATCAGGAAAAAAACTTCCTTCATCACTAAACACGACACATATTGTTATAACATAATGTCGTTTGGATTAAAAAATGCTGGTGCCACTTACCAACGCCTAGTAAATCGGATGTTCGAGGAACAAATAGAAAAATCAATGGAAGTTTACATTGACGACATGTTAGTTAAGTCCCTGCGAGCAGGGGACCATTTAAAAATTTTGCAGGAAACCTTCAGCATACTGAAGCAGTACAATATGAAGCTGAACCCAGAAAATGTGCATTTGCAGTTGAGTCGGGTACGCTCCTCGGATTCATGATATCCAATCGGGGAATCGAAATCAATCCCGATAAAATCAAATCCATCGAAGATATCACGGTCGTGGACAATGTAAAGGCCGTGCAAAGGTTAACCGGGCGAATAGCCGCCCCTGGGGTGATTTATTTCGAGGTCGTCCGATAAGAGCCACTGATTCTTCGCACTGTTGAAAAAGAAGTACAACTTCTCGTGGACCCCGGAATGCCAACAAGCTTTGGAGGAAC